TGAAAAATTACTTTTTGAATAATTACAATAAAAAAACCTGTTTCTATACCAAGTTTGATTTCATAATAATATAATGAAACTGTCATAAAAAAACAGTAATGTATTACGCTAAACTAAGAATAATTGAGTATCCTATAGACTCTCTGATACTGGCTATTAAAACGATTTTTCATAAATATAATTTATTTATATTAGGACATTAAACCCAGTATTGATCAATTTTGTCCAGGTTAAAGTACCGTGACCAACTGTCAACAAATTTTAACCTCTGATTGACAGAAGGACATTATGAACGGTGTGATTGTATTGTTTCTTAAGTTAAATATGATTGTATCAAAAATGTCAATACTAATTGTATTGTTCAAATGACAATTTCACTAATTAATGGTCACTACCTGATTACTGTTTAAAACGTAAATCAATTCTTATGATATGCCAAGAGGAACATTTTATAGAAGAAAAGTTAAAAACAAGCATGTTCACCTGATGGTACATCCTATCTAGCAAACGTTTTGTATAATATACTCAATTGTTTTGGAAGCTATAAGCTTATTGAAACACTCTTAAATCCGTTCCTGGAACCAACCAATACTAGGCAATGAGTGTAATGTTTCTTGCTCGCGGAAACAACGGTTTGCCCCTGACGGGGTTTGAACCAACGCGGTCAGCAATCCTTAGATTACCAGTCTGACACAATAACCAACCGGCGACGCCGCGACTAATGTATTTTTTTGCACATCAATCTTTTGGTAAAAGTAAATTCGGCAAATACTTCACGAAAGATATAACAAGATCCTTGTTTGATGTATTACAAACATGCACCAATTGATTTATTACAGACATTATCGTCAAAAGAGTTGATAGACTAAGTTATTTCCTACTGCATATCTTGCAATGCCGTTATAACACTTCAAACAGATCGCTTTGATTCTCTAAATTGTTATGAAATAATCACGTTGTGTATGTCAATGTAATTTACATTAGATCGTGATGGATTAGCATAAAAAATCACAAATCTTAAGTAAATTGAAGTCATTGCTTTTGATATTGATGATTTGTCTGTTGATATAAACTGTATTTTAATATCAAAAGATTGTCAGATAAAGTACATTATTATTGATTTACAAAAGAAATAAAGTTTGATTTTACCAAACTCGCTTGTCAGACAAAAAAATGACTTGATCAAAATGTGCTTTTTCAAATAAACGCTTAATTGATAACCAAAAATTAAGTTTCATTTTTAAGCCTGTTTTTACAGTTTTGCAAAATAAATGATGTAATATCAAAATTAAATACATTGGTTCAGCACAAATAAATTTGTTATAAGTACCATAGTCAGTTATGTTTGATAAAAAGTTGTCGTATATTATTTAATGAAACACGCAAAAACATTAATAAAGTTTTGAATTGATTTTCTTAAAAGATTTTATATCAAATTCACTAATAATACAATTCAAATCAGTTCTAACTGAAATTAAAACTAACAATACAAACACACGTTATGAAGCATTATATATACTTGCCCTACCTTCATAATTGCTTATTTTCATTAATACTCTTTAATTATTTCCTCGAACATGCCATAAAATGTATGATTGTTATAACCTGTTGAGTTTAGATTTTTACCTGCTGTCAAGCTTCAATTTTTGGAACTATCCATTATCAAGTTTGGATATACAAAGATGCCATTATAAAGTTGGTCAGGCAGTATAGACCCTGGTCAGCCTTTTTCGGAAGTTCAGACACATATAGAAATTTTATTGTTATTATAGCCATCCGGTTGACCCAATAGGCAGAGCGTTGGACTGTGAATCGGTCGACCCGGGTTCGATTCCCGGACGGCGTAGGTAACTTTCGTTGTGATTGATCATGAAAATCCTTTCTACGGTCATTCGCACTGTACCTCTGCTATTGCATGTACAGAAGTAATCAGTTTCTTGCAAAAGCGAAGGCAACTAGTACCGGAGAACTGCAGGAACGATGCGGTGGCTGAACTGTGCTCTGGTAATTTAAATATGGCTTACTGCTGTGATACGGAATGAAAACTTCCAACACCGCCACCATATTAATTGTTATTGATATTCTTAATAAACCCTAGTCTGTTCTGTTCTGATATTGCTGAGTTTTTTAATGTTCATTTACAAATTCTGATCAAGACTTTGGTAATAAATAAACATGTCGCTTGTACTTTAACGTTAAAGTATAATTATAAAAGGGTTTTTGTCATTTTTGCAAGTCAGTGTATCATGGCGTCATATTTTGACACTATGGTATTGAATAATTTAAAGTTGAAAATTGAACCATGTGACAATAAAAGTGTTTGTCAAATTCTTCAAGTATCAACAAAACACCTTCCGGTAAACGTACAATGGATATTTAAAATGACACAAAATAATCATTTTAATTCATAAAACACCTCGGAATGGCTTATTTTCATGTTTTGGGGTATTTCGTGTATAAATACGTACCTTTTATGCTGTATAAAATATATTGAGTATGACTTCATTTATTTGCTCAAAAAGTCATGCCATAATTCGTGAGTACAATCTAGTTGAACTTCAAACATTTTCATGTTAAGGGTAAAAGGTAAAAGGATTAAAAGGAATCGTTTCATTTAATTTTTTCTTCCAAGAGTAATAGAGGATATTTGTTTGTTTTGCATGTAAGATCGAAATATAATTTCACTGAGTGAACACCAGATGCAATATTTTCACGAGTGGCGTAGCCACGAGTGAAAATATAATAGCAGGTGTTCACGAATGAAATATATTTCAATCTTATATGTAAAACAAATAAATTTTCTTTTTATTTCATGCGTTTTAAGTGATTTTAAGTAATTTTTACTGATTTTGCCGCGTAACGTCGCGCATTCTCCTTAGTGACGTCATCACATCATGACGTCACATCATCAATTTTGAAATATAGTTCTGTTAAATTTCTCTAATTTTGTTACATTTTCAACTTGATGTATAGTGACATCGACTTTCTTTTCCTAAAGAAGCAAAATTTACGCATGACGGCATTTATATCTGCCTGTTATTCCATTTAGTTATGATTTTCTTTCCATCCGCATTCAGATATAGTCCGGCTACAGTGAAAATTATATTTTATAAATTTCACTTGTGGTTTATCAGAATATAATCATCTGATATATTACAATAAAACACTGGAAAGCATGAAATAATTCTCTATATTCTAAAATTTGATTATAAATTTGGCATTTATTACGTACATTTTTATCTATATCTCTTGGCAAGTAATTTGAATGTCTGTTTCACCTAAACATTAACAGAAACGTGCACTTCAAAAGTAAGACCAAGTTCTTTTTACGTTCTTAAATGATTTTAAAAATATAGATATTAATTTAAAAATGATTGTAATTAAAAAACAAGGATTCAAACAACTATCCAGATACTCTTTAATCTTAGTTTCCTAAAGAATTCGATTTTTCTTTTCAATTTGCATTCCTTTGTCGACAATAAGTGTCTCTTCAGTTAATCATACGTTTTTATTTTACGATAAATCATTATGATTAAATCAATGCATGAAGAGTTGGTGTAGATATTTGAGTGTTTTATAATTTACATATAACACTTGTTTAAAAGCGTGGTCAAATGAGTACATTTGGCCACCTGTTGTGCATGAATTTACAATATTCTGTTACTGAACAAAACAGAACAGGCTCTTTTTCCTCTCAGGTACATAAGTACAGTTTGAAGAAAATAAAATAAAAAAACAGGTTAACATTTGAAAAAGGTTTACGTATAAGTAATGCATCGGGGGAGACCGTAATAATATCATAATGTGCATTTAAAATAGGTAGTAACTGTATGAAAAATATATGACTTGAACAATGTAATGGAATACAAGTGTATATTTACCTTACTAAATGGCATTTATATGCTTATGATTATTTAAATTTTGCCATTACGGTTTTACAAAAAAAGAAAGAAAATAGACAAGTCCTTTAATTTGTCAGGTGATTTCAAAATATTTAAACAGCTCGCAGTGTATAAAACTGATGCATTTAGAAAAAAATATTTCAGTTTTAATCATTTTGCTCACGTGATATTGTGTATAACAGCTTATTCTTGTTAAAAGAAAAAAACAGCATTTGTGATGGATTTTGACATGAGCCAATGGCTGATGCCATAATTGAACTAGTATATTCAACAGTTCTAATGTGGAAGAAGAAAAACACAATACAAAAAAAACTTTACAAATATCCGGTATAATGCAAACACATGTAGTGTTAAATGTTTATTTCAATAACCGGCCTTTCCAATTCTACTCTTAATTTAACATATAAAAACCTTATTTAGAAATATTTTTACATTGTATCGGCAATTATTTTTTTTTTTAAAAAGGCATTGCCTTAAATTACTGGTGTAGAGGCGAGAAAAGCATGTATATTGCAACTGGGGAAAAATATGATAAAAAGCTAAGATACAGATACTTCATTAAGAAGCAAGAAAAATATTGATTTTAATTGATAAAACTTGACACTCGGATATTCCTAATAAAGAACGTCATAGCATGTTTTGTCTAGCAATCCAACGGTTTATATAAATGTGTAAATGAAAATGTATTGTTCCAAATCTTAATGTGCTTCATGAAAACATTAAGTTAGCCTCGTTGATTTTTATAGGAATGTAAGCTCCAGGGTTATTTAATGTGACAGGAATGTTTTTGTCTTTCTCAGTGTTTTTCCAACCAGCATGTTTCAAAATAAGTGTTCTTAGTAAATATGAAAACTGATTGTTTATATGCTCCATGAAACTTAAGAGCCTTTTAAGGTAGAGGGCATCAATAAGCTTTAATAGCTCACGCCAAATCATTGAAAGTTATAATTTGTACTCATTTCATGCAACTATTCCGAATAAAATATCTTTAAACTGAATATCCCGACATCTTGTCCCCTTGCTTATACGTACCTGCAACACAGACTTCTGGTACTACAGTAAGATATTATTTCAACAACAAAAAAATTACAATTTCAGAAAATGGACAACAGTAATAAACAGCGGTTACGGACGCTGCACGTGCAGTTAGGGACTCTTCTCAACTCAAGAAAGGCGCTCAATTCCAAAGTTACCACAAGACACTATGATCAACTAAGAGAGGCTGTCGATGCTGTAAGTACATACATTGTAATCAAAATCAAAGATTCTATACGCACTTCTTCTCACATCAAAAATAGGGACAAAATGTAACTTTGCTATGAATTTACCATAAACATATATCGAGAGGGCGAAATAACTGACTGATGTCAAAGACAATTCAATTCAACATTTGAACAAGTACAAGTTCGTCGCCTTTAACGTTATGACAAAACGGTCGGTGATTGTCAATTTCTTCATTGGAACTTCTTTAAATATGTTAATGAATATTTCCTTAATATTGATGACATTCGTCACTCATTAATGAAGTGTTAATGTGCTGCATTTATAACTGTCGCATGATAACTTCAGAGCATTATATATCTGTGAATGACATTTGTGAAACCATTTCTACGATTGTATAACTATTAAAGTAGTAAAAACATTAAGATACATGTATTTGGTTTCAATTGTAATGAGAAATGTTTATGTGATTTAAATGTAAGTAGTCAAATAATAAACTGCTTGTTAAGTCATGTCATGCCATGTTATGTATGAGGACAATCACTATTTCATTTATTTCTAAAGTTCGAAGGCGTTTGACTAGGTATAACACTTTATGTCATGTGAGGACGCTATCCAATTAGCTTCCGGGTGGTCCTCAGATGTAGGCTCATTGCTTAGATAATACTCGAAGAAGCGCATGACGTCTTATGACGTCACCATATGACACCATATGACATTGAGGCAAAATCTTTGTGACTTGAAAACCGAGTTTATATAGTTATTTACATTCAATTTTATTGTTCTTGAATATATCAAAAGTTCTTAATGTTTTTTTCAGGAATCGGATCCACATGAAATAAAATCACGTTTGAGTCGGCTTGAACAGTCACTTAAGCATGAGGGACTATATAAAAATGTCAAGTCAGATTTCGTGCATTTACGAAAAGATATTCTCGGGGGTAGTTGTCTTTTAAAATTTTGGGAGAAATATATTTTGATACAAATTTTCTTTCTCACTAAAAAATTTAAATATCTAAGCAATAATATGTTTGCTTTATTTTTTCAGTGTTGTTGTTTTTGTGTGCATGTTGCTTTTCTTCGGTGTTGTTGTTTTTATTTCTCAAAAGGAAAATATTATTTTATGTTTTATTTAATTATGATATATACATGCATATCTATTATTATAAAAGGCTGCTGATTTTCTTTCTTCATTGTGATTTTAGTCTGAAACGGTGAAAACGTTATTTTCATAACGAATTCTTTCAAAGTACATTTGAAACATTATTCAAGGATAAGAAAAAATAAAAACAAGACAAAATATAACAATAGCTTTGTAAGAGGTATATGCTTCAATTTTTTTTAAACACAGGGTCTGTTGTAATGTTATACTAAGAATGACGGTGTCGTTTTTAGTATATCGAGATATAAATTGAACCCCGTGTGAACGATCTACAATTATATGTCCTTCTGCTCAATGAACTATCAAAATGTAGTCATTGATTAAGCTGTGTGACACCGCTTTCAGTGTCACGTTATTTGATATGCGTTTGATCTTTATCTGTCTTGTGGTGGTTCACGGAATGTTCCCGAAAGAATTTAGCTATGATGAAAGATGAAATGGAAAAATGAATACCGCTTTGAGAAAATGTACTTTAAAAACAGTAAATTTACATATGAATTAGATGATAAATTTAGGTTCGTTATAAATTATTTATTGGTCGTATATGTTAAACTGAAATGTATAGTAGTGAGTTTACGTGTAATAAAAATGATGCCTTTTTCAGAAACGTATTCCATATTTTAATGAAAAGATATTTTATTAAAAGAATATAAGGGCATGTTCATATAGGGTCTATCAAGCTTAAATGTATATGATTATTTCAAGGTCATATCTTGTTAATGTTTGGTTGTTACGGTAAATAGTACAAAATCATTAATGCTTTTCTTAGTTACACTGCTTGATAGCGCCAATAACATATTGAACTATGATATTTTGTGATCATTCATGGTGATATTTATCACTTCATTTCCTATTACATTAAACTGTTTTTTACATTTCTAAATAAAAACACTGCACTTTACGATTACTAAATAATTAAGGAGTGAAGTCTTTATAGCATTGGCTGTGGGCTAAAATATCTGCATTTTAAACGAGATATGCATAATTGAACACTCTATCAATGGCACAATTTCTTCCACAATTAACTTCTCATTTACTGACAATTTCTGACAATGGGCGTAAGGCATATCTATGTCGCGCAACGAGCTGTTATTATTTTGCAAAGACAGTAAATCAGTGTTGAAGACCCCAGGTCAAAGACCTGTCAATGAAGTTAAACGTATCGCTTTCACTATTAGGATACGACCTCTGAAACGGATAGTGATCCTTGTTAAGGGATATCATTAAAGTATTTTCAAAACCGACAAAATGATTTAAATGGTTCGTCTTGTTTATTATTTGTGTTCAAATATGCATAAATTATACCTTTTGATTAAAGTCTTTATGAAGAGCCGCCCATATGTCGTGGCATTGTCTGTTAGGCTTGCATATAGTAATTGATATCACATTTATTAAGGCATTCACCTGTCTATTTATGTTACTTACATTTTTAGCTCACCTGAGCATGCTCAGGGTGAGCTTTTAGGATCGATGATTGTCCGTCGTCCGTCCGTCCGTCGTCCGTCCGTCGTCCGTTCACATTTAGTTGTTAACACTCTAGCGGTCGCATTTTTGCCTCAATCATCATCAAACTTGGTCAGGATGCTTATCTAGTTGATAGCTCGGATGAGTTCGAACATGGGTCATCTCGGATGAGAAACTAGGTCACAAGAGCTAGAAATAGAAAAACCTTGTTAACACTCTAGAGGTCACATTTTTGCCTCAATCATCATCAAACTTGGTCAGGATGTTTGTCTAGGTGATAGCTCGGATAAGTTTGAACATGGGTCATCTCGGATGAAAAAGTAGGTCACCGGAGCTAAAAATAGAAAAACCTTGTTAACACTCTAGCGGTCACATTTTTGCATCAATCATCATCAAACTTGGTCAAGATGCTTGTCTAGGTTATAGCTCGGATGAGTTCGAACATGGGTCATCTCGGATGAAAAAGTAGGTCACAGAGCTAAAAATAGAAAAACCTTGTTAACACTCTAGCGGTCACATTTTTGCATCAATCATCATCAAACTTGGTCAGGATGCTTATCTAGTTGATAGCTCGGATGAGTTCGAACATGGGTCATCTCGAATGAAAAAGTAGGTCACCGGAGCTAAAAATAGTAAAACCTTGTTAACACTCTAGCGGTCACATTTTTGCATCAGTCATCATCAAACTTGGTCAAGATGCTTGTCTAGGTGAAAGCTCGCATGAGTTCGAACATGGGTCATCACGGATGAAAAACTAGGTCACCGGAGCTAAAAATAGAAAAACCATGTTAACACTCTAGAGGTCACAATTTTGCCTCAATCATCATCAAACTTGGTCAGGATGTTTGTCTAGGTGATAGCTCGCATAAGTTCGAATATGGGTCATCTCGGATGAAAAAGTAAGTCACCGGAGCTAAAAATAGAAAAACCTTGTTCACACTCTAGCGGTCACATTTTTGCATCAATCATCATCAAACTTGATCATGATGCTTGTCTAGGTGATAGCTCGGATGAGTTCGAACATGGGTCATCTCGGATGAAAAACTAAGTCACAGGAGCTAAAAATAGAAAAACCTTGTTAACACTCTAGAGGTCACAATTTTGACTTAATCGTCATCAAACTTGGTCAGGAAACTTGTCTAGGTCATTGCTGGGAATAAATCGAACATGGGTCATCTTGGATGAAAAACTAGTCACAGGAGCTAAAAAATAGAAAATTCTTGTTAACACTCTAGTGGCTACTGTTGTGATCCAAATATTCTGTTAATTGGTCTGAAAGTTTGTTTTTGTTGATTTCTAAGTCAAGTTCGAACAATTGGGTCATCTTGGATGAAAAACTAGGTCACACCGCCCAAATATGGAAAAACCTTGTTAACATTCTAGTGGTCACATTTTCGACTCAATTATCATCAAACTTGGTCAGGATGCTTGTCTAGGTAATTGCTTGGATGAGTTAGAAATCGCATGTGAAACTAGGTCACCGGAGCTAAAAATAAAAAAATCTTGTTAACACTCTAGTTGCTACTGTTTAGATCCAAGTATTCTGGAAATTGGTCTGAAAGTTTGTTTTGATGATTTCTAGGTCAAGTTTGAATATGTGTCACCTGGGTAAAAAACTAGGTCGCACTGCTCAAATATGGATAATTCTTGTTAACACTGTAGTGGTCACATTTTTGACTCACCTGTCATGAAACTTGGTCAGAACGGTTGTCTAGGTAATTGTTTGGATGAGTTTGATAAGTCAGGTGAGCGATCTAGGGCCATCATGGCCCTCTTGTTCATGTATGTTTTCGTTATTGTACTGTTTTATGACATATTGCTAGTAAAAAATACATTTGATTTTTTTAAATTTTATAATGACTTGAAAAAGCTAAGTAATATATATCAGTATCAACATCACATATTTGCCTGAGAATTCGATATGAATGTTTGATTATTATATAATATTTTATGAGACCGAAAATTGAACAATTGTTAAAGCTAGAATCACATTGCCCGGAAGGTGCGTATGAAAGAGTTCCGATTATCATCCGTAACGCATCTTTAAACCTCCATACTCAATAGTAGGTCATCCAATAACTTAAACGGCAACGGCGAATTTCCAACGGTGAACTTGCTCTAAATTTTGTCACGGAAAATATTTCAATTTCATTTACAATAACACTCAATTTGTATAATATACAAAAACATGAGCAAATCAAATATGTAAACATATAAAAGAAATGGATCACTGTGATGCTTTCACAAAACAAAAAATGATGCTTTCACAAAACAAAAAATAGGTATATAACATAGAGGACAACAATATAGATTCATGTTTGTAAGCTGGTATATCATAATTATTTAAAAAATCTAGTTTTTAGTTTTCGTTTATTTAAAAAAATGTTTAGTACCGTTTGGTAGAAAAAAAGTAATCTAATTGCGTAAACCGTGGGAATAGCACATTATACGTAAAAAATCCGTAATAAGTATGTAACATTTTTTAAAAGACTGTGACAGATGTTTAAAAAAAGTCTTGAACAAAATCGAATACAACCATGAACTTGTTTTCAAGCATGAAATATTGATATATTAAATATTATACCATGGATGTTATTCATTCCAGTTACTGCATGGTTCAGAACAAGTTCCCCGTCACACCTTGCCAGGTATAAGTCACACAGTCAAGGATCGCACTTTCTATATCGCCCCAAAGAGTGACAATGACCAAGCAGCTGCTTCAGGGGCGACAACTTCGTAAGTTCCTGTTTTACTCTTTTTTTTGTTTCTTATTGTAAATTCGTAATAGGATTCTAAATATTCCAAAGTAGCAGAATCGTCGAACAAAGGAATCTAACAAAATTCTTTGGAAAATGCTAAGCGACAAAATAGAGATTTTTATCAAGAGTTGTTCTATTAGTATAAACCTCTTCCAATTTTGCCAGGACGTAATGCCAAATTTCCTCAAACTAAAACCATCGTGGGGGCCCCATCTATGCTGAAAGGGGTTAAATTTTTTCTGTTAGTCGTAAATTTTACATGTGATTTCATGCATTTAAAAAGTAACATAGTAAAGCAAAAATGTATTATTAATAAACTAAATTTTTGAGTGAAATATCTGAATGAAACAAAAGTGCTATAAAAGGGTATTTTGTTCAAAAAAAAAGAAAAAAAAAAAAGGGGAAATAAAAACAAAAAAAAAAACCCCCAAAACCTTTAAAAATAAAAAAAAAAAAATAAAAAAAAATTTCTAAAAAAAAAAAAAAAAAAAAAATGGTGGGGCAAAAATGGAAAAAGGGGAAAACCCAAAAATTTACTTTCAAAAAACGGTTTTGCTTTCTTTTGGGTTTAAATATAAAAAAGGCAAAAATAGGGCAGAGTATCAGATATCCGGGGGGAAAGTATATTATCATCAAAATTTGGGTTAAACCATTTTATAATTTTATAAAAAACACTTACCAGTGAGTTATTTTTTATGTAAATAATCCTTTACCATTATTATTGATCATAATTTTGATTGATTTTTTTTCTATATACAAAATGTCAAAATCTAGACTCCCTATACAATTTTCATACAACGTATCTCTTTTGCTCAAAATTTAATGTACCGAAAATTTTGATTCAATACGCAATTCGATATACTCTACATGCAAACGAAAGACGCATTCAAGAATTACAATATTGGTGAAAGACGTTTTAATGGTGCGGCGATGTTTTTTTGAAAGATGTTTTTCTATATTTGCTTCCGTTGAAAAGGCGTTGCGTTTATGGCATGTGAAGGCCGTACAAATACAAATATTTTGATAGGTTGATCGTCACTGGTTTCCAATACCAAGCCTACCGGAAATGTATTTATGAGTTCCTTTGAAAGTAGTCTGCATGGTAGAAGGTGTGGATACATATCATGCTGTTATATCTCTCTTTCGTGACAACAGTTAAATATTTACATTTTACTTAGAATACGCCAATAATTTTTAACGTCATTGAATACGTGTATAATTAAATTACTCTCAGATATTACAGTGAGAAAAATTTTTTATGCAAGATCTTTTATGAGTTTCAGGAATACATTTCCATCAATTGATACTTTCGAAACCTAAGCGTTGTTTGTATAAAAGGAAATGAATGATATATTTTGAACATTTAAATATTTCTTGATATATTGGGCTATTTGGTCTCCAATATTCTTAACATTTTCAGTCATTTATATAAAAATGAGTTAACAATATGTTGTCATATTGTCTATTTCTTCATTTACTCGGGAATCTCTATTAAAGTAACATTAAAGGGACCATTTAATATCAACAGTTAATATATATTTTAGATTTAGCAGAGCATATTTCAATACAGAACTATAAAAGACAACAATTATGGATAAAATTGTATGATTTTTGTGTACAAGATAATATAACTAACATAGACTAAACATTTTTGATTTATAAATAATGTAAAATATATCTTTTTGATTATACAGAAAATCACTATCTTCAAATTTTTAATTCACAAAAAAAATCCTTTACGATACTTTTAACTTCGCGTTAAATCCAAATGACCTATTTCCTTTCAAAATATAATTCCACGTATTGAAATATTTGTTTGCTAAAAATCATATCTTATATACAGATAAACAGTTATTTATTTACTTTTCATTGGAAGTCAGTGCCCTTTACATTTTTTTTTCATTCATGCGATATCAAGGTCACAGTCAGCGTTCATATGAAGTAATTGAAAGTTAATAATTATATGTAAAACCTACGGGTGAAAAAAGAAGTATTCAGAATTCAAAAACATCAAGACAGGTCGAATACATAAAAAACAACAAACTATATCTTTAGTCTTTTATTGTTGAGGATTGGATTTTTGTTAAACCGGTGCTACAGTGTGTGACAAACGTTGCACTTTTCATCTGCTTTTATGAACAGACTCACTTTGATAAAAACCGGACCTGCACTTTACATTATTTTATTCATTGCTCTCGAGGGACCTTCTCTTTCCAGAATTCTTTCATTCTGTACAAAATAAGTTAAAGTATAATTTCATTAAATGTTAAAGCAAGAATGAATAATGTATATTATAGAAAGGCACATTACGCCTCAGAAACAATTAAGTTTCTCTTTCTTTAGAAAGGGCTGACTTGGGTTTTGCATTGTTTAAATAATTGTTTTAGGGCATGATACATGCTTATCACCTGATTAAAGAACAAAATGGTATTTTGATTTCCATATCTAATACTAAATCAATATAACTTTACTATTTCGAAGCAAAACACGACATTTAGTAACATTTTGGAGCTATAACAGGACAACCAAAATACAAAGATTTTGAGAAAAATAAAAATAAATGCATTTCTGAGGCATAATGGTCCTTTCACATTAGGAATAATTACATTTGTTAAGTTATCCGAGTTAACAAGGAACCTAATTTTATTCGTTATATTATGCTATATTATTTCAAAATGTCGTTAAATGTTATGTTTTCAATTTGTAGACACAAACACGCCAATGGTCTCTCTGCAGACGACATGAGGATGTTAAATACAGCTATAGGGAAACTATATAGACATTTACAGCTTAGTTCTAAGGAGCAAGAGAATACCATGGTGTCCGACCATTCTCATAAAGAGGGAAGTGTGCAAAAAGAAAATGTGAATATTTTGACTTTGTCACAAATGCAACCCGATGAAACGTTTCATGACATTGTTTTAAAATTGAGAAACTTTGAAAAGGAATTTCAGAGACAGAAAGTTCAGCAACAAAGAGAACAAATGAGGTTTGTAAATAATAATAAATGTGGCACAGACATTGACAAGAAAAGTGAAGTATACAAGTATTGTATAAGATTTGAATTAAGTATATACTTCAAGGTTTGAGACTTAGAAATCATGTTTAGACAATATGGACTGCACACCAGAAGTTGATTGTAAATTTATGATATTGCATTTTAACACACAGTATAATGTTTGATTACATTGCTTGATTGCATTGTTGTGTAAGCGACTCCAAGTTTTATAATACTAACACTTAAAAATGAATGTTAGGAATTGTTATGCTAGCATAAATTGTTTATTTATATCATCCTAATTTATTCTATTAATTTTTCCTGGTTTCTAATTATCATTATTTCAAAAACTGGTATTGCCTTTTACAACTACAGCTTATGAATAGATTCGATCAAGCCAAATTTTCTAAATTCGTATTGATTGATTGGTCTTGAAAAATACACCGTTTAGATAATGACAGAAATATTGGGGGTGGGGCGAAGTGGGATAATAAATTGTTTAATGTAAAAAGGTTCGAGAAGTTACCTAATCTTCTTGACAATAAAGTAAATAGTAAATAAACTTAAACGTGATAAATAAATTAGAAAATGGCCACAAAAGTAAGCAGCATACAGAAAAATATTTTGATAAAAAGATGTTTTGTTAAAATGCTGTAGTATTATCAGTAAGTTATATTCTACTTAAATTCTAGTTATATCCGTTAAGACAATCTTTATTCTGGTTAAACAAGAAGTTTCAGGATAATAGTTACATATCTATTGTAGACATTTGATAATGCGTCAGTAATAAATTTATTTTAAACAAAATTTCCGGCATTATATATAATCAAAATGTTGGTGACATTGCAGATTAATGGAAGAAATTAAAAGACTTAACAAAAATTCTTCCGAACTACGAAGGGAAAACGAAAGGTTAGTATCGTAAAGTTGTGTCAACTTTTCATGTCTTCATCTGTATTAACTAGTTTAAAATATATTCAGTTTTGCAATTTTCTCATTTTATTGTTGTTTTCGGTGCTTACGAGGGATCACGCCTTTACTTCACAACAACAAGTGCCAAGTGCCGTTAGGCAGCTGTAAAAAAGTTGCCCCGTACTTCACTTCAGGGTTGCTATATTTTTCTGGTCCTTCGAAACCATTGATTTCAGCATGAATTTTAAATACCGATTAAGCCGGTGCTAGAGAGCGTGAGAGATTTTCCACTTTTTCATAAATTCTTATAAACAGACTCAAACCGAGTCTGCAATTTTCATATTGGTGGGGAATTGACAGTGGTCGCATAAGACAAAGGTCGCTAAATACAAGTGGTCGCATGAGCAAGTAAGACTGTTTATAGATGTTTGTGTGCTTCCGAGGGGTCACCTCTTTTCCAGATTTGTGTATTCGTGTAGTCCAATTGTAATGTGTCTCCAATTTGCAGACGATACATGGATTAAAATGCTGTATTTTCATAATAAATCGTTTGTTTGCAATATAATTATATAGGTTTATAATTACATTTCTTTATTGGCCTAAAAACTTAAGGAAATTAAGTGGGTCATTATTACGTAAGTAAATTATGTCCTCTCTATTTTGCTCTGTGCGTATATATTCAGGTTATTGACAGCCTTTGTCAATATTAGTCATATACTTTTATGAATTTTATTTCCATTTATTTATTTATTATCTATTTATTTACTTCTCTTTATTTTTTATTATTTACCTTTTTATTTATCTATTTATTTATTTCTCTTTATTTTTTATCATTTATTTATATATTTATTTATTTATCTATCTTTCTATTTTTTTATTTCTCTTTATTTTTTATTATTTATTTATTTATTTATTTCATTTTACTTATTTATTTTTGCAGAATTAAGGGTGTTCAGCCGATTCTTACAAAAGCTAAAGGCAAACAAGTAGAACGTCTAGAGGAAAGGTAAGTAAAATTAAAAAAATATATATTTATCTACGAGTGATATCTTCTTAGCAACAGCAAATACACGTATTTTTTTCTGTTCCTGTGAATTATTTTACTTTATTAAGATTATTTTCTGATATATCGTCTTCTTCTTAGAAACCTTTTAAATAAATAGTTCATATTTCTTTTGTTGACGAAAAAATCTCGGCGGGATGCTCTAGGATGGCCCGACTTGAGTGTACGGTCGCCCATATGGCCTCCCGGCGGCGACCTTAAATAAACACATTAAAAAAAGTTGATGTATTTTTATTGGCTTTTTTGTAAGAATAACACGTTAATAGTTATCTTATTCATAAAAAACAGTATTTATATGTAATTCATTTAAATTTAATACCGATATTTGCGTTTACAATTTTGAATTCGCGCCTTTTTTCCTTTTTTCCCCTTTTTTCATACTCCTAAAAAACTAGTTTTTAGGACAAATAATTTTCCTGAAAATGTTCTTAATTCGTTGTACTTAATAATTCCATGCAAATACTGTAATTATTAATTAAATATTGCTTAAATCAAATACCTGAACTATAGACATGTATATTTAAATTTACATTTCCTTCATTTAAACAGATATAGAACAGAAAAGAAAGATATGGAAGAAAAGATTATTGAGTTAGAAAGCGGAATGAAGAAAAATCTGGCAATGTAAGCGATACATCTATCGTTATTCTTTGGGTGGGGGCACTAAATACTTATAATGCAAAAACAAACCTTTAAAGTTTCGTATTCAGGGCTTTTTAGGGTCTTTTCCCTTGTGCAGCAATGGCCGTTTTAGTGCTGTTCCTCGGTCATTTCAAAATAATTCAGTTTCCGCTAAATTCAATATGCATTATTTTTCCCCATTTTGCATCAACAGCAAAAATAAGGGAAGGGGCTTTGAACCTTCCTGTATAAAAAGCTGAATCATTCATAACCTAAAGTGAACATTTTAATTACCATTATTTATAATTTAACATCTAAATGCTTTGAAACTTTTTTTTGTTTTTAATACATTTGCACACCTACTAATTAGTCAGTTGCCTGAAAATGCATCCAACAAGTCAACAGGAAATTTCTGTCTAGGAAAAAACGTTATTAACATTTTGTTATATTCATTGACTGAAACATTTGTATTCCAAAATCAAATCTGTTTCTTTTAATTCAGGTTACTTCACGACAAAGAGGAGGTTCGGTCCCACATCCGGTCCGACGTGGAAAGTCTAATGTCTTCAATAAACAATTTACATTACATGGTCCTTGGACATTACCACGACACGCCGGCGATACACAGGAACTCCGACGACGCCGAAATATTGCCGACGAAAGATTTATTGAACATGATAACTAGTGTTGCTGGTGGGGTACAAATTTTAAAATCAAAGTCACAAGATTTATTTAGGTATTTCAATTTGAATAATTCCTTGTTCATAAAATAATAATAAATAATGATTGTAAATAAATAAAGTGTTTGTTGCTTCCGGGTTAAACAGTTAATAATCAATAAATTTTAACATGTCTGTATGATCATAATATGAAAAAAAGATATATCGACAATAATGATATCTGATATATCATCGATAATGATATCATCATATGTAAACTTTCCACGTTTTCTAACATGTTAATTAAAGGGATTCCATTGACATTTTAGACATAACAACATTTGAATAACTTTAACGAAATTGTTGTGCCAGGACCTTAAACTAGTGGTCATTCGCTCAATCCGTTTTGTTCCAGAATAATGAGCTTAATTGTGCAAAATGAGCCCAAAATGAAAAGCGTTAAAAGGTATTTAACACAAATCGGACTGAGAATTGCATAAACAAATAAATCATTGTTCAATTTTATTCTTAGTATATTTCTTGATTATCTTTTCAGTGTTTTACCACTTTAAGCGTCCGAGTCAATCTATGTAAGAATTTCAAATTTCACATTTTAGGCCTTTACCCCTCAGTGGAGCTCTAGTGACAAACTAGTGGCATCATATATATTCCGTTTCAGTGGAATAGTATGAAAACTTGATATTAAAGGAACTCCATTGAGGTCCAAAAGCCTAAAAATAATTTCTTACATAGATCAGCTCGGCATCTTTAAACTGATAGATATGCAGTGGAGTCCAAAACACAATCGACATGAAACGTACCAGAAATGCTCTCTACCGTAAATAGTTCTAGTTAATAGCAGATTACCCTTATAGTATTTCTATTTTAGACAAGCAGACGATATGTCAAACTGGCGGAGGAATTTTAGAGAGCTTGAACGTGAAATTTCAAAATTCTGTCGAGGGTTTACAGATGACGATAACGATCGGGAGTTCACCGTGGGACAGCAGGAAACTGACGCTCAAATGATTGTTCACAGCTGTAAAACAAAACTGCAGAAAACGAAAGAAAATATAAATACAAAATTAAAAAGTTTCGCCGAGACTTCGAGGTAGGTGATCAAGACTATTGATCAACAGAAGATATTTATTGATAAAGTGCATAAGTACAGGCGTGAACATAAAACTCGGGGGAGGTTGGTGTTGCGGTGGGGTTTGAACACAACCATTTCTAATGATATAATGTCATTGCTAGTTTTATAACCCCTTTTCACTTGTGTTATGTAAATGTATGTACCTTTTATAAATCCAACAATATTTTAATTTACTTCAATTTTAAAGATGTACTGTTTAAAAGGTGAAATTTATTACCTTATGCCAGCGTTAGAGTTAAGGCTACCATGCATCCATTTTTTTTCAGTTCGGTAAAACGGAAACAACGTGAAGTAACAAATTATCGTCGGAGTCTGGAGGAACTTCAGGGTGAGATTGGTAAACTCCATGACCAGGTTCTTTCAGTACAGATCGAAGATATTTCCATATCGAGACCCGAGTTCGAGCGGCGACAAGACAGCGGCGACAAGTTTGACGGGTCCGGCGATGAGCTACCGGAAGCTGATAGGCAGGAACAGAAAGAGTTCCTTGATAAACTGAAGCAAATAGGGACGATGGTGACACATTTTCAACAGTAAGTGGCAATGTTTCCATTATAGGACGAACCTTATGCATAGATTATATCTTTTTGATAGAACTTTGTCTTTCTTATGATTCAGTTGACATTACATTTTGTTACCTTCCTTATCCACTCGCATGCTACAAATCTTCGAGTAACCAAGGGTCAATGCCATCCGACCAATTTTAGAGCCGTGAAAATGAACTTGATAACTCTTGTGCCTTAATTTTTACTGGATTCAGAATGACCAAAAGTGTTTTCTGAAAACTATAAAATCAAGCATAACATTTTTGTGTAGAAATTTGTTTTGTAACCTCATTTTCATTCCCAAAGACATCTCAAATTTACTGGTGCAGACTTTGATTACAAATGTCGTCTGGGATTTCACAATAAGACGCTATGAACGCCAATATATCGAGTTGTAAAGGATGACCTTATACAGACAATAATGATTTGATTACAGCCCAATCAGACATGATAGATAAGATTTGTTGACATCCAACTATGTAATCATGCTACTTATAATCGAGTGATTAAGACGACAAAATTGGTTATATGTCACGTGGTAATTTTGTATGAATATTCACATATCTTTTTATATAACAATATTAACATGTAGACTAATAACACTGGTGATTTTCTTTTATTCTCTTAAAGTAAATACTGCCAGTGTTTATACTAATCAGTCTGTCTTGGTGTATCATTTTAGAAAAGCAACTCATTCTTAAATCTTCTGCTGAATTATAGACTGTAAATATTACCATTCAATTTCTCTTTCAGACTTATTATCGACCGGACCAGTATCTTGAACAAAATGGAGAATGACATGCTCCCGCTAAAAATCCGCGTGAACCGTCTGCACGAGGAGATTACGAAGGCCATGAACGCGGGCGGGTCACCAGATCACGAGGGTACAGACGACAATTTACCAAGGCGTTCGTTCTCACCGGATGTTCCATCGAACGCGCTTTCACGAGAAATTGGCAACATGCTAAAGAAACTATCTAAAATGGAGCTTGCAATAAGACATTTATTAGAGACTTATGCCACAAGTCATGGGAGGGCTTCAATATAGGGGAATAACTTTTCGTGTTTATGCTTTTTGAAAACTGTGATACAGCCATATTGTGATTTATATACATGTATATAAACATAACATTATGTTTTTATAATGTTTTAAGTAAGATGGGTAAATGGTGTTCATCAACATATCAGTAAATAAGGCACGGCTTTAGAGACAGCTATATTGCCTCATATATTACTTATAAGACTTTTCAGGGCAGTTGGATTGAATAAATGGCGCGAATTAATCACTTGCAGCAGACGATTTTGTATACCGGAAGTCTGAAATAGATGAAAACAAAATTTGTATTTCTCTTTTGAACTAGAACTACTGCACAGTTATGATCTTCTCAATTGCTGTTAGTTTAAATGCTCCGTTGATATTCTGTTGTTGTTTTGTTGTTGTAATGATGTTGTTTGTCCGTACATAACGACTTCATAACAGATGAATGACAAATCTTTACAGCTATAAAAGGGAAACGCTGCTTTCTCTCCGTATTCTTGAAAATGTTCTATGTCTATGTCGTTTTATGTTTTATGACGTCATGACAAGAAACTGTCACGTGATAAGTTTCGAACTGCACGTTGAAGCACTTGCACTGGACAGGGAATTTATGATTTCTGATAAAATTGCACGTTTTTGTATGTAGGTATAGATCTGTGCTTTTAGTAAGTGTTATCTTCAGTCATTTGTACGAGGTAATAAATGGTTCATCATTATTTATATGGAATGAAAACAGTTAAACATTTGTTTTATGCCATGGCTATGGCTATAAAAAGATTTCCGCATCTTCATATTAGTCAAATAATAAATATATAAATATAAGTATTGCTGTTAAAAAGGTGATAAGCAAGTACTGCTAAGATAGCTTAATTTTAGTTTAAAATTGAATATATTGATCGAAAACATTGCTGTTTTCTCTGTAATAAATCTGTTTAATAAAGGGTAGGTATGTTCATATTAAGATACTGGATATTCCAGAAAAAAAATGAACGACACACATCATATGCCCTGAGAAACAATTGATATATTCAGAAGATTCGGAAAATGTTGTGAAAGAAAAAAGAAAATCATAAATTGTTTTATGGTTTAATTGAACAGTTGACGTTCAATTTAATTTTATTGATTTTAAAATTTCAAATCGAGGCTCTGTTGACACTGATTCAGATCTTGATATTTCTGTTCAATCAAAGTACCACGAACATTATTGTTTAAAAATAAGTGTGCTTGTATTGTTTGAATATTTCTTTAATATGCATCGCTATATTTTTTTTCATTTGTTGAATATGAATTAAAATAAAAAAATAAAAAGTTATATAATGCGTTGTTGTTTTTAATTGATTCTCATATGAGTGTTAGATCGTTCATTTCTTGTCGTTTAATGATTACTGAAAATGTATTTTGTTCTACAACAATTCATTATATACATGTATATTTTGGTTTTTGTCACATATGATACTGAATACTATCAACACAATGATCTTCCATTATAGACAAATTCACTTTAAACTTGATCTTAATCCATATTAGTTTCACAGTGGAGATATGAAATTGTTGTCCAGCGATTTTTTAAACTTTTATAACAAAACTAAGTGCACTTTTTAACATTTTCCTTGTAATGTTACCTTGCCAGATATCTGTAACAGACTTACATCTCTATGAGTTTGGAACAGTCTATACAAGCTTTCAACAACAAAGATTTACAGTTCAGAAGCTGACCCTTTACTGGCGGTATATCGGTTTCTTACCGCCCCTGACATTTACTTTACTGAACTGACACTAGTATTTACTTGGTGTACAGTATTTTGAAAATTTACATAGTGCTTTATCATCATCAACTTCAGGACATGTAATTTCATTTTTAATTATTGAACTGTTCGATTTGTCCTGGGATGGAACAGCAAAACATGTAATGGCTTAATTAAATTTAGTATACAGTATTTGACTCGTATCTTATTCCAGATTGTCCAAAAGTATCCTCTTAATTTTTACATTATCGCAATCAATAAATATTTTTTCTCTAACATCTTTATATTCAACCAACAATAAAGTAATTTTCTTTCATTCTAAAAACCAAGACATCACTTGTAATTAAATAATTAAGCTACACCCTGCAGCAACAAAAAAAAACCATCAACAAAAAAGCAACAACAAACAAACAAAAACACCAAATTATTTGATAATTCGCTAGTGCTTGTCTAATTTGCATGAATTTCGAATTCCTCTTTAAATAACACAGTTCACGTTATATTACGAGCATGCCTATTGGAAGGGAAATAACCACATTACTCATGGAACAAAGTTACTTTGTATTTACGTACCTCAGTCCATTGGATTTTGATTTTTAAAACAATAGTGACTTAAAAGACAGTACAAAATTATTGATTTAGACTTTAAAACGTCTTATCTATGTAAGGGAAAATGCCAATGTTTTTATAAATCATGTAAATGTTAAGTAAAGTATAAGATTACACTACCTGATATGTCTTTATTTTCTACTCGATTGTCTAGTTAATACGCTAACCTAACAAACCAATTCATGCCACTTTTTGAAAGGAACGCGGTATTTATCTTTGCTTGCCGGGAGTCATACTAATGTTGTTTTGCTTAAAAATTGTTTCGCAATGAACGGTTTAAAAATGTGAATCCGAGGAACATATCAACATTCAAGAGAACGGAACATGTTCCGTAGTGAAATAAAAGTAGAGTATTTTTCAGAACATATACAAACTGGAAAAGAAAACAGAATTTGATGGAATAATAATATATTAAATTAAAATGAGTACTAATATGAAACAGGAAGATCTGAGTGAATTTGAACGATTCAAACTGACCACTTCCGGTGACCTTGAAGCGTTTAAAGGACATCTACGAGAGTTAGGGAACCATTTGAGGATTCAAATACGAATGTTTAAACAAAGGTTTGAACATGAAAACATAGCGTTTGATAGAATAGACGAGGGATCTAAGATGATTAACAAAGTTGAAGAAAAACTTGGAAATTATGTAAGTTATGTTTTGTTTGAAATGGAATAAACGGGAACGCGTTTGCATTGTTTGTGTCTAAATGGTTATCTGTTAAGCTGGGCTAATTAAGGAAGAGTTTGGTGCCGTTTTTCTACGGATTTAATTGATATTGAGGGTGTTTTTTTTTTCTTGGCTTCATCTCTTTATCCATCAATGTCTTAAAAGATAAAATACTACTAATTCCGATAAATATTGTTCAGTTAAGAACAGTAATCTTAATAGTGGAATTTCATATTGTTTTATTATTTGAGTTTCCAGTACAAGGACTAGTTTTAATGATCATCTCGGTAATATATTCAATTGTACACTTATAGATAGAAACACACGTATGCACGAATGCTATAATATTTATTTCAGCTCTCTATGATCAAGAAAAATGAAAGAATTGATGAAAGATACACGAGGATAAGACATGTGAAGAAAAAATATGAAGATAAGTAAGTACGACGCATCAGTCATGTGACTTACAACGGCGTTTCCTCGTCTGATTTATAAAGCAATAATAAATAATAAATGAAACCGGACACAATGGCAAAAAAAGAAAAATGATGTAAAACATTATACAAAATCACTTTATTTTAGCAAGTCTATACAGAAACTACAAAATTCAAATAGTGACACTAATGCGGCAACTATAACCCCAGTGTAAACATTTTAAAATACTCAATACATGTAAATAGAATATCTTTATACTCTTCTTGAAAATAATACGGTCACTTTAAGAAATGCTATACAGCTACTTATCAAGATTTAAATAGTGTTCACTAAACAGAATCCGCAAAAAGGAAATTATTTTATCGTTGCCATATATATTACTTCCTTTCAACCTGAATTTATGTTTAACGTATATTCAAATTTGATAAGCCCTATTTCTAGTGTCCCCATTTACTACTTTTGCAACCTAACGTAAGATGGTATGAGCCGCGTCACGACAAAACCAACATAATGGGTTTGCGACCAGCATGGATCAAGACCAGCCTGCGCATCCGCGCAGTCTGATCAGGATCCATGCTGTTCGCTTTCAGTTTCTCTATTTGTAATAGGTTGCTAAGCGAACAGCATGGATCCTGATCAGACTGCGCGGATGCGCAGGCTGGTCTGGATCCATGCTGGTCGCAAACGCACTATGTTGGTTTTGTCGTGACGCGGCTCATATATTATTACAGATTATCGGAAGCTACAACAGCCTGGCTCCAAAAATACAACCCTCATGTCGTTGAAATCACGAGCTACAACCGTGCAAAACATATAGCTGAATCTCTCGTCGGCGTGTTTGAGAATCAATGGCAAGAGATGTATTTATCTTCAAGAAATAAACTTATCCGAAAATATACTGACAGAGAAATAGTAGAAAAGCTTCGAGATATACTTAAGGTAAGACAACTTGTCATATAAAATGCAATGAATCATTTCTTTTATGTTTAACACGCAGAATATGAGAGTAGGTCATACAATTTTCCGTGCGTCTGCAGTTCCCAACCCTAGCCATTCCTCGATCATCTGCCTTTACTTTCCGTAGTATGGGATAGCATTAGAAAGATACGACCACTTATCTAGAAACGTAATTTTGTTTTACATATCCAAATATGCAGTATAAGACATGTGCCTCCGTGATTAGTCTTCAAATTACTTGTTCATCATCGGTGCGTTTTTGAACCCTGGAAGAGCCGTTTTCATTAGGGCTGTTCATCTAGTTTTAAGATTCTAATCATTTGCTTGAAATAATGTATAGAATGGCACGTATTACTAACCTGTACAGCCACAATAAGATATTAAAAAAGACTTAAACAAATAAAACAATCATGTATAACAAAAGCATATATCAGGTTGCTAAAAGCAGGCACATGCTAGTTTGACTTCGGACCGGTCATGATATATGCAACTATCGGGCCGGTGTCGGCTTGACGTCGATCCGACATGAGCAGCCGACATTATCCTTATTCTGCATTTATTATTGTTACAATATTATCCAACATCGACCCGATATAGAAACCGACATCGATTTGATGTCTGTACCATTATGAATGGTAGCTTTGAATATATTTTCTTATTTCCAGTATTGTTATGATAACTGTCGGGAATTTTACTGGAAACAAGGCATTGCTTTACTTCAACTTCTTACCATGTCTTCACAATACAACATAGACACGTGTCAACCTGTCATCCGACTAAGAATCAAAGAACTCCTGAAAAGGGGAGCAGCGTATACTTTACCATATATTCAGAAGGTATTCTCAAACAAACGGTATTCTTAAAATATTTGCTACTATTGAATTATGTGTGATTGAAAATATAAAGATCTAGCTATCCTTTCGAAAGTTAGAATTACTGTTTTACCAAATTAAGTAAAAATACTTTATTCAAAGTATCTACATTTAGTGTATTTACGAGTACATTAAATATAGTATATAATGAATAAAATAATTTGAAAAGCTACTTACATATTACCCATACTGTGATACATTATTGAGTTATAATTAACGCGTGCTTATCTAACGTACATATTTAAAGGGCATATGTTTAATGTTTCACACATTTACGTATTTCACACTTTAGGTCATTAGACAAGATGTTGTTTCGCTGTTAGAAATGAATATCGTAGTCAGAGCTCATCAACGCACCCAGAGACCACCAATCAGATCTTTCCTTGATATGTGTACGGAAATCACGTGGTTAATGCAGTTTCAAGATCCACCAATCGCATTGGATTTTACAGATGAAAATAGTTCAATGAAGTTCAAACCTTACGTAACTTCCGGTCCAGAATTTGTTTATGTCGTCTGGCCTGCAGTTTTATTACACGAGAACGGACTGCTAGTTTCAAAGGGAGTGGCAGAATTTTTCAGCCCCGGATATGAACCAAGGTCAGCTGGGTCAGAGTATAACTTCACCTGATTTTGTTGGTTGGCAATGGCCAGGATTGGTCAGTCGTCAATAAAATACAATGATGTTTCAGTACTATCTCTATCAGCTTAGATAAATAGGAAAAGGTAAAGATTCATGGAATCACAACTATTCCACAAAGTAAATTCTAAAAGAAAATTTATATTTAGATCTAATGCCAAGATTGAAGTTTTCAAATCCGTTAAATGTATAATATGTCTAAAGATCACATGTGGTGTTTTTGTCTTGATGTGTTTTTTAATCTATTAATAAAATCTTAATGTCAGGCAAGTTTACACTAATATCAATTCAATTTAAGTCACACAGACAAAGTGTAAAGGTCTTGCATGTGCAGGATGACGTCAACAAGAAGCCACTGATATTCCGTATACCAGATCGACAGCTTATTTTCACGGAAGAATTTGAAGTTTCCAACAGCAGGCCTCAAAACCATAGCTGTGAGGAATAAGTGATTCACACGCACGCACGCATATCCACACACACACTAAAACATTCCTCCCAATAACGGGCACCTGTATCTTTTCAGACCCTACTTGTGGTGTATGTAAGAAAATACAGGGCACATACAGTACCACTCAATTCGTACATGTTCGATCAAGGTGCTTAGTTTAAGGTATGGTGTGCATGGTAAAGGACTAAGTAAAATGTATTAAATATATTGGGTCGATATATGTTGGTGTACTGGTGCGATTTGAAGGCAATATCCGTAACAGGTTTTGGTGTTAAGGAACGAGGCCACTATGTAACAATACAAATGTAACCTACAGGTGTCTGTTGAAAAAAAAAACAATCCAAGAATCCGGTTTGAAGTTTGGGCCCTGTAATTGGCCATACATGTGAATATATAACTTGATGACTAATACGAGCAACTGACAAAGAGATTCTTACAATTTTTTATTTCTTTTTATTGTAAATGAAACAATGGTAAAAAAATAATAATTGAAACAAATTGACCAAATTGAACTCTCAATATTAAAAGTTTTTAACAACAAAACATTTTACAAACTAAATTACTAAATCTGAACACATATGTGGAAAAAATTTAATTTTCTGGCCTTGATGCAAAAAATAAACAGTATGAATACATAATGAAATGAAATGATAAATTTGAACAACGATAAAAATAAAACTTTTACAAATTTGATTTCCAACAAAACACAAATTTCATCTTACAGAATGTTTTTATCTGTCATTTTCTAAGCGTAACAACTTAATTAAACAACAAAAAACGTTTTTATTGCTTTTAAAAAATGGTCTACACCCAAATTGTCCTCCCCATATATCTAAAAATTTAAGGATTCCCCGAGAGAGAAAAATCTCAAGAAAATTCACCATTCCAAATCCTTAATTTTGACATCATTCTTAAACGTAAACTCAAAATAATCAGGACAGGAATTGCCATGGAGAGGTATTTTTGTCAAGACTATACCAGAAAGACTTCCTAAGATATTTTTCTTTTAAAACTGTTTTCTTTGACGAAGCTTTTTGCCTTCTGTATTTCACTAGAAGGAAAGAACAGCCTTCTGTTGCTATGACAACATAAGGTCCATCCCCATCATCTCCAATGGCAACAGCATTTATATGGTCATGTGACGTCTGTATGACCCTGGAGGGTGTGGCTAGATTAAGATTGTCCCAATCTCTATCTGAAGGGAGGTGATACATATATACAGCACCTAAAATACATCAATATATTTATATGTATATATATAAATATTTTTTTCAATCTGATGTCAATAAAAATTTTGATAGCTCTGATACCTTCCATTATGATCTCAAAGACATATTTGAAGCATTAACTTTAGCAAATATCTGAAGTAGGTGATGAGATATGAAAATGTACACAAAGAGATGTATGCAAAACTGTAACAAAGTGTCAAGCTGATGGCCAAGTGTGTAGTCCGATAGCCCTACTTTTCTTCAAATAGTCAGACTAATGAAGACTTTATTCAAAATGGCGAATCGAGTTTCCCTTCGAGACTCTATAAAATGTACATGCATGTATATAAAGCTATAACAAAAGATTTACTTTATATGTGTGGTTAAGATTATACGGACTTGCTATCATACTATTCTAAATATATTTTTTATAGTCCTTGGATATGTTATAGGGCCAAGATCTCAAGAATTGTACAAGGGCAGAGCGTGATCAATTCCAGAAATGTCAAAAAGAGCCAAATACGAGTAATATGTCATTATACTCTTACACTGATCATTTCCTATATACCTTCTAATACTGCACAATCATTTATATTTGTAGGGCACTGATTTTTGTGATTTTGATACATAGGTCAATCCATGAATCTAAAATCCAACAAAAAAATTTTTTTTTGCTGTACAATCATTTTGATTCAATTATTTGCATTCTATTTTTTTTGCCCAAACAAACAATCCAGGTATTTGAGAACCCATGGTAATGTCTTTTTTTGATAAAACAACGAAATTTTGTGTCCACTAAATTAAGTGAATGAACAGTAAAGAAAGATATCATGAATAAATTTTGACTTTTTCTCACTCTTTGTCTTAAGAGACTGTTGTATTAAGGGATAAATTTTAATGTTTCCCTTAAGGAGTCACTTAATACTAGTTTGACTGTATCTAAACAGTATGTCAAAAACATCACTCCAGATGATGCTACAGATTTCTTTCTGTCAGGTTTAATTTGAGCATGTGATACATGCACTTAATATAGTAAAATTTTTTCAAGAAAGCAATTTACCAGTTCTGCATCCAATGGCAAGCACTGATCCGTGAATGACAACACATTCCGGTGTTTTATTCAGACATTTATTTATGTCATGTTTGTTGAACACATAATGTTCCTTATATCTACTAACATGAAGTAAACCATCACCTGAAATATAAACAAGAAATATTGATTACAATAACCAGAAATAACTAGAACTATCGCTGACTCCACTTCAGGTCCAAAAACCTGAAACATAAAATTTGAATTCCCTACATAGATAAGTAGGGGCACTTGAAACATGGAGAAGATAAATAAGGAATATAAATTTAAAATTGTAACTTTGCCCTAGTTTAGCCCAATTTGAGTGAAAAGCATTGCAAGACTGTTCATTTTTGGATAGTTTTTCACAATTAGAATAATTATCCTGGAAAAATGGAATGAGCAAATGATCTGATATTTTGAAATCAAGTTATTGGTCTAGATCTACATGAATGCAACATTAATCTCAAAAATTATTTCCAGGCCCTCATGTCAAAAAAAACCCTTTTATCTTTGAAACATATTAATATGTGTACTTACCTGTGAAGCAGACGACTCTCTCCCCAAGCAGAAAGATAGAGTTGATATAGCCCCCTATATTTGCTTCAAGTCTTAACGCATCTCCTAAATTGAAAATATTTAGTCCAGTAAACAAGTTTCCCTTCTCATCTCCTAATACCACCTTCAAATTAAAAATTGTAATAATTAATTTAATTTAATTATTTAATTATTTACAAAACATAAAGTTAGCACCAAAAAAATAATAAAATATTAAAAATAGATTATATTAGTTTCTCAAATATGAAAAAGCAAAGTACATACTTCTATACTTCCGTTGTTTGTTGGTGTTCATTTTTTTTATAAGTAGGCATAAAATAAAGTTTTCTACAAGCACTATTTTCATAATAAAATTTTTCTTAAGAAATTAATTGGGGCCTAACTAAATCTTGTTACGGTTGCCAACTTCTAATCATTCTTGTCTCACAGCTGTTAGAAATTTGAATTCATGTGAGGACGCTATCCGGCTAGCTTACAGGTTGGTGCAGAAAAAAAATTGTCCGAAAAGGCACACCTGAGGTCTCCCTACGCCAGTGCAACTAAAATGTAGCCATATGACCTTCACAGTGTAAGTCTAACAAATCAAATTTTGAATAAATGAATTAATTACATTGCCATCCCAGACTGCAAAAGCTGTAACTTTAGCAGATATATCGGTGGATATAATATCCTGTTGGTCAGCTTCATCAGAATGTGTTTTAGATTTCCATACAGACTGTCTTCCCCTTGAACATGTGTTTGCTGAAGCAAAAAAGTGTTTACCCCATGACCTATAAAGAAAAACAATTCTACAAATTATCAAACTGAACAAACTACAAAAACATGTCAATACACCTTGATATATGTCAAGTAAGCTGAGTGTTTGTTTGAATTAAAATTGTTCTAAATAATATAGTTTAATAATTCTATACCTTCTATACCTATGCATAAGTATTACATTTTTGAAGTACTAATATAAATTAAATATGATTTCTAAACATGCATTTTTTCTTCATTTCCAAATGGGAAACACTTTAAATATTCATATAAAATTTATCTTAACACTTTTTACATTTTGCTTTTTGTATGGCTGGGTTTTACATTGCATTAACACCAGCTTTTCTGGTGGAGGAATACCCTCCCTAGCATTATTTCAGGCACGAACAGGCTCCACAGTAGAACCACCCATATTATATTAGCTAGCTTAAATTTTATTAATGGATTGTCTGCATCCTTTGATATACTCAACCTGACCTTGACTCATAAATAACTTGACCTTCGAGGTCAAATGTTTGAATTTTGCTTGATTTTTGCTATAATTGGCTATAAGTTTATTTATGAATGGTTTGTCTTAATACTTGGAAACAACTATTTTTAAGTAGATCAAATTGATTATGATTTTCAGTTTAACACATTAATGACCTTGACCTTGAATGTCAAATTATAGTAATTTGACAGTATTTTGCTATAATTGGCTATAACTTTGTAATTAATGAATGTATTATCTTAATATTTGTTCAGGACAAGACCTTGACCTTAATTTCACTATGCCTCCAAAAAGAAATAATGTTATAAAAGACTGCTAACAGGATACCACTTTTACCTCACAACATCATGTCTATCTACCGAATAGTTTAAATGTTTTGAAATTTAAAACATATGATTACTGGTATTGTGGCTGTTTCAAGTAAGAACAAAAACTGTTGGCAGTACAGCATGCCTGACTTGGACAGCATGCTTGACTTTTCTAAGAGCTTTATAGTAAAACAGGAGCCTGAATAATGTAGAATTTCAAAGTTCTAAAAAGGGCCAAAATTCTGTAAAATTCCATGTAAAAGTTATGGGACTTGGATAGTGAACATTTATTATGCTCTCTAATAAGTGTGTAAAGTTTCAACCTATTTTTTTCAGTAGTTTTGGAGATAGCATTTTGCATGTAAAAACTTAACCAAAGTGTGATGTTGATACTGATGCTGACGCCTTGGTGAGTTTAATAGCTCTCACTAATTTTTTGTTATTAATAGTTGAGCTAAAAATAGGGCTGCAATTTTTTTACTATTGATGTTATGCATGGCCTACAGGGGCATGTATCTGGAAAAAAAAACTTATTTATTATCTTGGTATACAAAATACCGAATGTTAACACCAACTTAAAATTTATGTCTTATTTCTAATATGAGATCAATACTCACCTGACATAGCCCACATATTCATATGTATTGTGATCTTCAATTTCCAGTTGGAAAAAGCTCTCAGTGTCTATATTATACATAACTATTGTCCTGTCTTTTGCTGAGCTGATAATCTTGTTATTTAACTCACCAAGCAATATATGCCTCGTGGTCTTGGCTTCAAAAACACAAAGATTAACTATTAACCCAAATCTTGCCAAAAAAAAATTAGGTAAGGGTCTTCTCTTGCCCTGACTTGAACTGGCAACTGTTCATTGTTTGTCTTGAAACCATGTTTTAAATCAAAATCTCCTTGTAAATTCTAGTTAGGGATGCATGGCTGTCATAGTATAAAAGGCATACATAGTTGTCATAGAATAAACTGTTAGTTATAAATATGAACCTTTGAAACGAAGTTTTCAATACACGCAAGCTATAAAGGCCATGTATCACTCACTAAAATTTACAAGAGGATTTTTTATTAAATTGACCTAGTTGTTAAGGTGAAGATTTTGTTTTCTTGCATATCAGACTGGCGTTTCTGTGTGTTTTACCCATACTGGAAATTTCATCTGGCATGGGGGGTGTCAGATGAGTCGTGTGCTGTACAATGGCACGCTTAGGATGACGTCGTTTTACCGTTATGAATGAAGTTGCAATTTCATACGCTGTTGTAAGAAAATAGTTACGGCTTTAATGATATAAATATCCATTGAAAATAAAGATAAAGAATTTAAATTATAATGGAATATTGTAGAATATGCAAGAAAAAATATCTGACATATGCTTGCGGTTCGGATCGAATATCTGTCCCTTGGTAACCCACCCATGGGCGGGCCACCTCGGGACGGATATTCCGGTCCGAACCGTAACATATGACAGATATAATTATAAAAGAAAGCATGGAAAGATGAACAATAGACAAAGAGGGATGGCAATAGATCTAACCAGGCGGGGAAAGTCTGATTTTGACTTTCTTGTCCGTTTTTATCTAAAGCATTTCTTTACTATATTATGATATTTATATAGTAAATTCCTGAAAATTTCACTTGTCCCTACAGGCTGTGGGACAACCTTAGAAATACAGACAATTAATTTTGCCACTCATGTGATCATTTTCAGCATGCTGTGCTCTAATTAGCTAAAAAGATGTCCTAGCATTGAGATGCAGATCGTAAAGTATAGCCTGGTCACACAGAAAAGATATGCAGGCCACCATGCCAAAATCAAGGCAATCTTTCTAAAGGCAATTGTAATAAAAGTTATTAAACTATATTTTGCTGTCCAACACAAACCTTTTACAAAGTGGGCAGTCGAAAAGTTGCAGCTAAAAATGTGGTGTCAGAAATATTTAAATCATTTAAAAACATTTTCATTGATTTCACCTTGTTGAGGGCAAACACCCTTTGAAAGTTTTAATAAATCAACAAGGTTTTCTTTTGACCTAGCAACATTTCCTTGGACTGTAAATGAACAATACATAAACTTGAGATATTAAATACAATACAATGAAAACTAAGAGTTCTGGAGATATGACTAGCCCAATATGCATGAAGAAAATGGGTCAAAGGCAGAAAAGGCCGGGTTGCTTTTGAATACCAAATATCATGAGGCTGTGATGTTACTAAAAAAATTTCTACAAGTGACCATTTATGTCGAAAATTCAACTAAGTTTATAAACAGGAAGTGGATAAACGACAAACCTGAAATTGAAACTCATGATTTGGGACCACATGTAAATGCTGTGTAGCAAATTTCAAGAGACTGTGATAAGTATTTGCTGAGAAAAACTGATACGAAATTTTTTCCCTGCCTAGCACCCCACATACACCATACTATAATTCAGGGTTTACACCTGAGCAACCCAGCAAAAAGGTACAATGGTCCAAATAGTTCACCTTTGAGCACAATGATTTCATATAAACTGAAACACATACCCATATCAAGGCCAGTAATGTCTGTCACCTTTTTCCAGTGACTATACAACAACTCGTAATGCAGCTCCTCATCTAAGTTTTCCCAACTGATCACCTGACCTCCCGCATGACCCGAGTACATCACATTGTCTGTAAAAATAAACAAGTTTTTTTCATACAAATTTGTTTCTTTAACCCTTTCGCTCCCAGAGGGTTATTGTTTTATTGATCACCTATTTGCCAGAGGGTTTTCCAAGAAATTACTATATTATTAATTAATATAATTATAATCAATTGTTATTAGTATTATAATAATTATATATGTTTCCAAATCTGTTAGTATAATGATAATTATTGTCGATGGTATAATTTTCTTTATATTTTATTATTATTATTATTAATTTATTATTATTATCATTATTATCATAGTAACGGCTAAAGCCGTCCATATGGCAAATACGCCGAAAATAAAAGGGAAAGCATAAGCCGTCCCTATGGCAGTGAAAGGGTTAATATAGAGTAAAAGAATAAATTGATTTACGAATGAAACAGGGTGTCTTTCCACTATGAAATATACGTTGTTCAGCCTTAATCCAACGTCTCACCTGAGTTTAATATACATGAAGGCCTTATCCTAAAGAATGTTGTGCCTTAATAATTATGAAGTCAATCTATTCATTAATTAAAAAAGTTAGAGCCAGTTACAGAAAATTTCAATAATTGGACCTACAGGGTCAAACTTATTTATGAGTGAAGGTCAAGGTCTTTCTGGTTAACTCGAAGGTATATAATAAAAGATTATTGTTTCAAGTTTGTTGACAATCCATTCAAATATAACAAAGTTATAGCCACTAATAGCAAAAATCAAGCAAAATTTAGACATTTGAACCTGAAGGTCATGGTCATTTATGAATGAAAGTCAAGTTTAGTCTGGTCTTCTAACTCTTCTTAAAGGTCTTGTCCCAAGGGTTGTTGTGGCAAAGTATTAGAACAATACAAGAAGAATTTAAAAGTTTTGATCATTGTTAAAGTTTACAGATGGCAATGGGCACGGGATCACCAACATGACTGTAACAATACCTCTATTTTTCTTCGAAAAAAAGTTGAGCTAAAAATGATTTAATCCAAGCCAGGATACACATTTAAAGTACAATCATATAAAACTAATTTAACATTTTTCCACATTAATCATTGTTTCACTTTCAAGAAAGGTATTTATACACCAGTCAGTGCAATATATGAGCCGCTTCATGACAAAACCAACATAATGGGTTTGCGACCAGCATGGATCCGCGCATCCGCGCAGTCTGGTCAGGATCCATGCTGTTCGCTTACCAACCCTATACCAACACTATACCAAGTAGAGAAACTGATAGCGAACAGCATGGATCCTGATCAGACTGCGCGGATGCGCAGGCTGGTCTGGATCCATGCTGGTCGCAAACCCATTTTGTTGGTTTTGTCATGGCACGGCTCATATTAGCTTGTATGATTGTCTACAGAACAAGAGCTTCAGAAGGACAGCGTGCTTCACTACTCTCCTATTCTCAGGGCTTGATAGAACAACATGCACCTAGATAATATAAAAAAATTTAAGTTCAAAAATAGTCATAATTCAGTCAAAATCAATGTAAGAGTTATGGGCCATAGACTGTGACCTCCTATTAGGCTCTCAAATAAGTATGTGAATTTCAACCCATTCCCTTTAGTAGCTTTCTAGATATCAAATAGCAAACAAAAACTTAACTAAAGTGTGACACGGACGCCTTGGTGAGAAACAATAGCTCTTCCTATTCTTCAAAATGTTGAGCTGCTAAAAATTACCCACATTTTGCAAACTAGCTGGATAGAATGTATATAAATATATATGAATAGCTTATCATTGCATAAAGTAGGTTCCAACTGTAATGCATTAACTTGGAAAAATTGTAAAAGAAATGTAAGAAAAACACTATAATACTAAATAGTGAACATTACTACAAAACTATTTGAGCCGTGCCACGACAAAACCAACGTAATGGGTTTGCGACCAGCATGGATCCAGACCATCCTGCGCATCCGCCCAGTCTGATCAGGATCCATGCTGTTCCCTTACAAACCCTATAACAAGTAGAGAAACTGATAACGAACAGCATGGATCCTGATCAGACTGCGCGGATGCGCAGGCTGGTCTGGATCCATGCTGGTCGCAAACGCACAATGTTGGTTTTGTCGTGACGCGGCTCATTTGCTGAAATACTTATATACCATATAACATCATTTATACCTTTAATATGAAGGCATGTGATATCGGAATGTGTTGGAAAGTAATGTATTTCTTTCTGTTCCTCTTTACCATGCACAATATATCCACACCTATATAAACATTTTTAAAAATTGAAATGATATAAATATGGTTGCATAATAATGTTACACGCAAATTGTATTTTATGGAGTCCGTTACACTATGTTTATTAACTATTATAAGTTGTATTGTTACTTTCACTCTCCTGTTACATACAGATCAATTTATATGAAAACAAAAACTGTATTGCTTTGAAATGCTTTAATCATGTGCAGAAAATTAATTTTTGTTGTATAGGTGTTGAAAATGATGTACTATGTACAAGTCTGAAAAAAAAATATGTTCTGTTCTATATACAAAATGCATGTATATGAAGCAACTAATGACAATAAATGAGAAATATTGAATAATCAACTTACATAGAATGTTACAACAAAACAAAAACTGTAAAAGGACATATACATATAAGTTTCCCAAAATAGAGTAATATTATTTGAAACATATACTGTAGCTTATAATTTTGGCAAGGATATTTCTATCTTCATTAGCTATCACTTACAAAAGTAGACAGTGTGATTATAAGGGTCAAAGTAGCCCTGAATCAATAAACTCAGTTAAAAGGAAATACAGTAAAAAGTTACTTTGTGCAGGCAAGTTTAGTTGTTTAATGCATGTTAATAGTACAATGACTTGCCTTGAATACTCTGCATAGATCTCCCGCCAAAACATCCAAGGGAGCTTAATCTGTAAGCTTGTCCTCCAGTCTTTTGTCAGTTCAACAAGAGTACTCTCCTTTCCACCAGACAACTGGGTCAACCTAGTCAGTTCAACAAGTGTGTATGGGGGAATCTCTTGTAGGCAACGGTGTAGCCAAAAATTCTTGAACGTCTCTAAATCTGAAAATAAATAAAGAGAGATGGCATTTGATATAAGTGATATGTTTTACTCAAAATTGCAATGTCAATATATGCTTATATATATATATATATATCAGAAATTGGAAAAATTAGCAAAAAGATACTTGATAATATTAACACAAAAATAGAAGATAAAACAGGATTAAACCAATGGAAAAGCACAGCAGCCACACTAAAATGGTTTAACAACATCGAACAGAAAGAAAAATACTATTTCATAGCATTCGACGTAGTGGATTTCTACCCTTCAATTTCAGCCGAACTGCTAAATAATGCACTCGATTTCGCGTCAATATACCACGACATCAGTTCTGAGGAAAGACAAATCATTATACATGCAAAACAATCATGCCTTTACAAGTCAGGTGAACCATGGGGCAAGAAAGCGACATCCAATCTATTTGACGTAACTATGGGAAGCTTCGATGGAGCAGAAACTTGTGAGTTAGTTGGATTATATTTACTTAACGAAATAACACAGAAACATGGAAAAAAACTTTGGGCTATATCGAGATGATGGTCTAGGTGTATCTGATGCGAAACCACGTGAAATTGAAAACATTAAAAAAGACCTGTGCTCTATCTTTTCTAAACACGGCCTGAAGATTACAATTGAATCCAACAAAAAAATCGTGAACTTTTTGGACGTAACACTCAACCTGAAGAATGGCAAACATGTTCCATACAACAAACCGAACAACACACCGTTATATGTGCATACCGAATCGAACCACCCACCGAATATCATCAAGAACATACCCATAGGCATTAACAAACGTCTATGCGAAATATCATATGACCAAGAATCTTTTGACATAGCAACACCAATCTACCAAAGGTCTATTACAAATAGTGGATATAAACACCAACTTAAATACTCAAATGAAGAAAAGACTGACAACGGTACCAAAAAATCGCAAAAACAGAAGCAGAAATATAATCTGGTATAACCCACCATATAGTAAAAATGTAGAAACCAACATTGGAAAAACGTTTCTGAAAATACTAGACGAAGAATTTCCCAAGGAACACTTGCTACACAAAATATTCAATAGAAACACAGTCAAATTAAGTTATAGTTGCATGAACAATATAAAAAACATAATCGACGGACATAACAAAAGCTATTCTTTCCAAAGAAATAGTAAAAAATCAGCCTAAAAACATGCAATTGTAGGAAAATAATAGATTGCCCCATGTCAGGACGATGCTTGGTGAAAATCGGTTGTATATAGAGCTACAGTGGAAACAAACGACGACAAGCCTAAACAAACTTATGTAGGATTAACAGAAAATACCTTTAAAACCCGATTTACAAACCACAAAGCATCATTTAGAAATCCTAAGCTTAAAACAGCACTGAATTAAGTAAATATATCTGGGAACTCAAAGAAGAAAAACATCGACTTTAACATAACATGGAATATCTTAAAACAAGCCTCACCCTACAACCCAGCCTCCGACCGATGCAACTTGTGCCTATGGGAGAAATTCTACATTATCTGCAAACAAGAAAACGCTAAACTTAACAAAAGAAACGAACTTGTAACAACCTGCAGACATTCCAGGAAATATCTATTAAGCAACTTTAAAAAATGAACAGTATTAATATAGTTACGCCCCTTTATTGAGAAACCACCATTTACACTTCATAGTTACGTCCCTTTATTGAGAACTACCATTTACACTTCTGAAGATTGCGTTTTGCGCATGAAACTAATTAGTAAAGGAAAATGTGTTTTTCAATGTGTTGATTGAATATAAATCCATATATATAAGAGGGAAAATGACCATGCCCAACTGCTGAAAAATTTTGTAATAAAATTAAAATATTTTAATTTTTCATATTGACTTCTGCACACATACCCATTCATGTGTAAAATAACTTCACTAGTCTGCAAGATTTGTGGGGCAATTACGATCCTGAAGATACTAAAACCCATTCGAGGTCCAAAGTGTTTCTTCCATAATGTAATCATTTAACTACCTATAACTTAGGCGTCATTTTAGCCAATGTTGTGCCAAGATTAATGGACAATCTTAACACAATGTATCAAACCTGTAGGAGAAAGTGCTTAACATATCTGAAAGACAGTACCTGGCAGATCTCAGGAGCAAATAAGAATTGATAAGGACTTTTAATACTTTATGTAAGAAAGTAAACAGTACCAACACATGAATCAATGTAAATTAGGCAACACTGATACAAAGGAAAAGTGCATAAATGGTACCATAAAGGATGCAGTTGTGGATCTCATCCGACTACAGTTTAAGAGTTTTACTGTCCGTAGGGTCTTTCAAATACAAATTTGAAAGACCCTGATGTCTGTTATACTACAAGGACGTTGACATTACAATAGCCCCCATTTGGATATTAAGTCTATCATCTTGTATCGGGTATCAGGTTCTTTGGTTTGGTCTCAAAAGCCGATTTCATTATACAATAACCTGAAAACTAGGAAAGTGTAGATCCCTAGAGAGCAATGGTCCAGGCTTTAATAATATTTTATTATGGGGAACTTTCCCCCGACCCACCTAGCATAGTTACTTAACAACATTTTCTGCAGCACCACTCTTAAAGCGTCAACGCAAGGCCTGTAGTATGTGACATACTGACCAACATTTAATCCATTAACTGACCATGATCTTGGTAACTTAAGTTTGGAAAGGTGATGAACTTGTATAAAATGGTCAATATGGAAAGTGCCAAAATGTCTTGGATAAAATTGGGTTAAAAAGACTTAACATGAAATGGAAAACAGTAAGATTTATATGTCTAATCTCTAATCAAGCATTGAAATTACCTTTAATTATTTCATTCCATAATTTACAGACTTTCTTTGCAACAGCAGCTGTCTTCCCATTTAATTTACTTAATATACAAGCTTGCATTTCCTCTGGCAAACAACCAATGCTGTCATTCGTTCTGCTCATCCTGGATCAATTGATCGTGAGAATTTCTGCCTTGACACCGTTTTTCGCAAATCTTAAACGAAAAATCAGAAATATCTATGAATTAAATGCATGCCAGTCAATAGTAAATGATAATAAACGTAAATATTAATAAAAGAAACACATTTCTATTTCGCAAACTGTAAGACAATATATGATTTTTCTGTAATTTGACAAAATATGACTGTTTCGGATTTTGGCAATGGTTTGCTAACCGGTGACTGAGTACTTTAAATCTCGTGCGGTAAAACACCACTAAATGTAAAAATGGTTAACAAAAGAAAACTTTGAGGCGTCTTCCCAGATAAGAAGTGTACTGATTAATAAATATGAATCCACTAAAAATCATTTAATTATTTTAATTAATTATGAAGAAAATGTAATGTTTTAAGCTCTAAAATGAAATAGGGTTTTGTTTCCCCTCATGAATGCATAAATAGTTTATCTATATTTCTATTTTTTTTTCTTTAAACTTCTCATTCGATTTATTTATATTTACATATAAAACATTTGTTAAAATAAGTTCCTGAAAAAATACTTAAAACTGAAATTCTTAAGAATTTGCTATCACACAACTTCATTTAAATAGTATAAACTTATTTTACATAGCGTTAAAAGACCGCTTAATGTTAGCGTTATATAGGTGCGTCAATGAAAAAATGGTTCTTTTTCGCTTCAAAAGATTTTTAATTTTGGTATGTGATAAATATAGTATTAAATTCGCGTTAGTTCAATACTAAATTTATTGAACTCATTGAACGAAATAGTATTATTCAACTCGTTCAATAAATTCAGTATTAAACTACACTCATTCAATATCCTCTATATATCACATCGCATCTTACGCGTCACGTCACTTCCACGTTACATGACGTCACATCACATTATATTACTAAGGGGTCTAGATGGAATTTTTGTTCGATAGACTCTATGCACAAGTCACATCTTTATCTTTATTTGTGTCATTTTATTCTCTGGGTTGAAGAAAACTTTGAAACTTTGGTTCTCAGTAGTGTACTGATACTTTAATTAAAAGTATTCACAATCCATTTCGTTTCTTATTATTATCATTTTTTTTTTTTTGAAATCTAATATTTAAAAATAGATATAGTATGTTCAATAACAAATATTAAAGAATAAAAAATACTTTACAAGTTATATATCTACCTGTCCAAACTGGCATACACTGGCCTAAATGGCATGTGTCGCAACGTGGGGGAAAAAGGCTGGCCTACTAAGTTACAAGTTTCATGTATATTCAGGAAAAATAGTGATAGAGTACGTAGATCTAGTATACCTTTTTACTGATGGGGGTCACAGAATTAAAGGTTAATGCATATTCCAGAGGGGATATGGCATTTTGGTGTTCGTTTATTCCAGTAGCTTTATATAAGTAATGGCAAAGTAAAATATTTCATATTTAGCATGTAGCGTAGCCTAGTCACAGGGGAGGAACTGTTACACGAGGGATGGAGTTCTTATGATAACTTGTCAGAAGTTCTTGTGATAACTGTCATTGAGTTCGTCGGAAAATTTTTGTATAGACATGCAGTGCAGAAACACTGGTCAAAATGGTAATTTTCATCTTTAAAAAAGTGTGAGTTTTAGGTGCTTAATTAAACTATATAATAATGATAAAGCTGGCCTTACATCTTGTACTATGTGTCAAAAACTAATTATCAGATTACTGTCCATTTTTCAGCGCCTTGTTTAAAATCTGATAGTTTTGAGTAAACTTTCCAAATTATTCCTCCGTGCTAGTGGACTTAGTATTATATTTTTTAAATCATGGTCTTAGGTGAAATATAATTAATAATATCTGTCAAGCGGAATATCCGTCCCCTCGGTGATCCGCCCATTGGACGGTAACGTGGCTTGCCGAGTTACCGCCCATGGGCGGGTTACCGAGGGACGGATATTCCGATTCGAACCGCAAACATATGTCAGATATTTTTTCTTGCATATTCGACAATATTCCATTACATTTTACATTCTTTATCTTTATTTTAAACGGAAATTTATATCATTACAGCCGTAACTATTTTCTTACAACAGCGTATGAAATTGCAACTTCATTCATAACGGTAAAATGACGTCATCCTAAGCACGCGACTCATCTGGCACCCCCATGCCAGATGAAATTTCCGGCATGGGTAAAATACACGGAAACGCCAGTCTGCTATGAAAGAAATGGTTGTTTTGTTCTCGCTATAGAAAGCAAGAACTTCCAAAATCTCAATTTTTTCTTGCTTTTAGAAAAAGTCGAGCATTATATAATTGTTATAGTCATGACGACGTTGCCAATTAGAAATTTATTAATTTGATATATATACCAATATAACATATAAAAACGATTTACTTACAATTTATAATTTCGTATACAATCGTATATTTTAAAAATATTGTATTAAAATTTCATTTTTTAAATATTTGATATAAACTAATTTTTATATTATATACATGTTTTGTTATCAGTTTATTAATTTTTATTTCGATTTACAGATTTTTGTTGAGTTATTTGTTTTTGTTGACAATAAAGGGGAACAACAAAGGTTTTACGATTTGCAGAAGTTACTTCCCTTCAGTATTTGAAATTTTAAGACGCCCGCGCCCAATATGATTCGATGACCTTCCTCTTCATTGAAGAATGTATGACATTTTTCTAGCAATGGGTCTCTCAGGTGAGCGATCTAGGGCCACAAATGGCCCTCTTTTTTAATAATATCACCTACATTGTATCTAAAAGACCGTGACTTGTTTACCTTCTCCATTTTCCAAAACCCATCCCGAGGCAGAAGGCACGCGGTAGGTCAAGGGCAATTCATCATAAGTTATAGGACCTATCATGACAAACTCGAGAGGGTGTGGTTTTACAAAGGGTTGTTTTGAAACATGCTTTGGTGTTTTTGTCGTCCCCTTCAGCAACCACCTATATATACGAAGAACATTTTTGCCGAACGACCAGCATTTGATAAAAAGACGTCCCGGACGAGGCAATAGCTGCAGACCGAAAGGGAAGCCGAAAGTGCTGGACATATGGTTAATTTCGGCGCCGAATATCAATAAAATTTAAAAATCAAAGCAGAGAAGGCGCTGAATTTGTTTGGGTCTCAGAATGTAAGAAAGGTACAGGTTGTGAGATTATATGTATAGTGCCACCAATGCTTTCCAGCGTTTTAATTGTAGTAAATTGGCTATAAGACTAATTGCAACACTGATATTCAATCCAATGTTTATTTGACTTAAACAATTTGAAAAAAAAAATGAGTTGCCTTTACTGGGATTTGAACTCCAGACCTCTCGCTAACCTAAGCGAGCGCGAAAACCCTTCAGCCACGGTAAATTTATATGTGAGCGGCCTGAAGAAAACCATATTATTCTAAATTAGGGCTTGTAACGACTTTAACTGTTGTTTAACACAGATGTAAATAATCCTGGAGCTTACTATAAGCATGTATATTATAAAGAATCAAAGGGCTGCAAGTTCTGTGGTATTTTCTGATCTTTGCAATCTAAATCGTACTGTATATCTGTATGTATTTTCCTGTATAAGTTTATTTTTATGTATCATAATTCATTTTGCAAGGCACCAGAGTTTGATACATACAGAATTCTGCATAACTAGAGTTGCATCAAAAAATCATTTCTGTTCATTTTTTACGACAGCCACACTTTGTCCTTGCATATCATGGCTACTTCCTTAACAAAGAAAAAAAAAGAATTTAAAAAAAAGTTTCCTCGACTGGGATTTGAACTCCATACCTCTCACTCACTAAGCGAGCGCGTTACCACTGCACCACGGAGAAGTTATACAAACAATGGCTGAATAACATCAAGTCATTCTAAATTTAGAACTTCCATTGCATTTCGGGTTTGTAATCCTTATTAATTTCGAGGTATTTTGTTCAGGATAAACTTGTTGTTTAAAATTGAAGTAATTAATTTAGCGAAAATCTTCTCGCCCAAACAGTCCGACATGTAGAATCTATATATTCCACTACTCGGTTTGTGTAGTATTCGGTAATCGACATTTCATTGACATAAAATCATATTCATCCGCGTAATTTGTGATTGTGCATTTATTGACAATTCTATAAGCCAACGCTATTTTTAAAACTTTGAATGCGTTGTAATTTGTTGGATACTTGTAAACAAAATAAAATATTTCTTTCTTTAAAATCGCTAGTTTTAAGCTGTTTTGAGAAAACTACTTGTTGTTAGGTTTGTCGTAAACTTCTGTGTAAGAGCATTGAATGTCCCTTTGTATTTACTTATTTTCGATCAGAGAAAATACAATAAAACAATATTAGAAATCTTCGACCATTCGGGAATTATTTTGCTTGAAAATTAATGCGCCTGTCTTTGACCATCTTTACGCAGTGATCTCCCCTGAATTTTTCGGCGTTAGTGTACATATAAAGGGAAGTAACCGCTTCAAAAAAGTGGACTTCTTTCGGCATTTGCAATTAACAGCATTAGACTCTGAAATTTCGCTACCATTATTTGTTTGGTCTGACGACCCAAACAAATAAAAACAAAACACACGCACACAGTAACCTTCTTTCCAGGTGTATAAGCCATATAAACAAAGCGATAAAGAAGCTAAATGTGGTGAAAGTTCTTAACAAAAATACTGCAAATACGAAAGAGAATTTCATGCAAGTGCCTATTTTATTTTGTCATAACGTATTTATATATATTTGTATGTTATACACAGAGAAGAATGACAGTTTGATGGTATCTATTAGCTTTTTAAAACTGATCTAGCGTATATATGCCAGCAGAACATTCTGCAGAATATTTGTCGATTTCCAATAAATGCATTTTGTTTATACTGGAACTACTTATTACGTCAAGCGAAATTAGTCTTACCCGAGTGGGATTAGGAGCAGAGAGTATTTCAGGGAATATTTTAGATATGTATTCGCTTGAGAAATTCCGGGAATATTTTTGAATTTTCTTGTGGTTGTTTACCGTTTTGTTATTTTCCCTTGATAAATTTGATTGACAGCGGCAGGACAGCATCATGGACTGTGTAGGACAATCTTCAAAATGGAGTCTTAAAAGGCAACTTCGTGCGGATATCAGTATACTGTGTATGTTTGTTTCTATTGCTTGCTTGACACAAATTGTTAACTGTCAGAAGGAAAATATCAGTAACGAGTCTCCAAAAGTGTCCAGGCTAACTGTCGAATACAAGGACAATTCTGGATACAAACATATAAATGACGATTTT